GAAAGGAACTTATCAAGGCGTCAAGCTCATTGATGAACTCTCCAAGGGAACCTGGAGGGCGATAAATGACAAGGATGTTAAGCTTAAATGGGCTAGTGACTGTGACAGCATGGAATTCAAATGAGGAGATAGACAGATGGGTCAGGGGAAAAATAGAGAATGTCCACTTGGGAGAGATGAAGATTCCTGTGCCACCACCCCGCTGACCAGATGCTCTCGGGGTATGCGAGAACACATGGTCAGACGAGGAGAGAGCAGTAGGAGTAGCAGTGTTTTCAGTGGTAATCCATGTTTCCGTCAGCACCAAGAAGTCGAGGGACTGGAGGGTAGCATAGGCTTCTTGTGCTTCTCAGAGTTGTTGTCAAGGAAGTTAATTTGTGTTTATACAGGACCTCCCGACCCCACCTACCGTCAACCAATCATGTCAATCGTGTAATTTTTACAATATTTGTAAGGCGCACGGCTATGTGGTATGGAGCTCGATTTGGCCTGCGCAAGCCTCCACATTTGCGTCAAACCACCGTAGCGAGCATAAATTGGCAGTCGAAACAGTTTGCAGGTATATTATGATGAAATTAACATTTTGGACTTTGGCAGGGGTTTTCGGCTGTTCGTGCACACCATTTCTTTTTTCTTGAGGCAAGTCTTAAATTGGGTAGCCGAAGTATACGCCCCTTCGTCAGTGATTGGTCAACAGTACTACTCCTAGTAGGAGTGGGAACATAAAGTCACAGATATAACAATTAGAACATATTTGATTAAGTGTTGCCATTCAACTAGTGTATGCAAATTTTTTCACCTTTACTGCACCAAACTGCTTAGCCAGATGCGGACAATTTTGAGGAAGTGTTTCTGGCTATGTTGCTATGGTGGCTCAAAAGGGAGAACAGTAATATTGCAATTTTTTCTTGTTTTTCAAGCTCAGGTCTTTAGGGAGTATGCGAGCACAGACGTTCGCTTCATCTAGCCGAGTTCTGCTAGGAGAAAACCAAACCTACATATGCGGACGCCTTACAGTTCCACCTCAGATACAGCCAAAACAAAGCCACAGATAAAACATTGCGACAAATATTTCACTGGATGTTTTAATGTGAAGCATCCACTTGGCGTTTCCACTCACTACCAAATACTAAAATGTAAATATGGTAGTGAGAGGAAGCCCACTGGTGGGCAGTGGGAGAAGATGGAGAGAGGTGGATTTTGGCCGACATTCTGCACATTTTATCATCAATGAAACATTTGATCTCAATACAGTTCTTATGTCCCAAAACTAGCATCTATTATGAACAGAGTCGACTACGGTTTGTAGACTTTATCCTTTGCAAAAGTTTTTTTTAAAATCGCGTTGTTTAGGAGTGCAAAGACGGATTGAGTTATTGCACGTGTGCACTTCAGAGTAGGCGTTCCCCTAACGGAAATATGCAGATGATGCTAGAATGCGCCAATAGGATCTCGCTAGCTCGTGCTTGGCTCGGCTCTGCCCCCCTCCTTGCTTGTTCTGCCCACTATGGCTCATTTGTTCCCATTAGACCGTAGCCTCTCGTTTCCATCTTGGTTTAGTTATAAAAAATATTTGACAAATCTATGCGAATGACAATCTGATTAAATCTAGCCGGAAATGTTCTTGGGACAGCCTGTTGAATTTATGTTGACTCGACCAGAGAAACTTTTTGTTTATTCAAGTCAGGCCTTCATCAGGGCATGGACAGCTATGAAAACATTGATTAACAGACCAATCAAACAGCTAGACAATTCAAGGTGACTCGCATACTTGCATGAAACAATTCATTGAACCAGCCCCAAAGGAAACCAACAAGCTGACAAAGGCACAATGCTTTTGTGCTTGATGATCTTGGGTGCAGTAGACAGGATTTTTATGAGTTAAGAGATTGAAAAACAGGGCTTATGTTCAAAACTAAATGGAACATCTCTCCCAAATGAAAGACAAATTACTGGCAAGTCAAATATTTAGACCCCTAAGCTAAGGGAAATTCATAAAAAACAATCTGTTAAATGACTAAATGTGCCTCCATGGCAGTCAGTGCTTGACTTGGACTGAAATAGGTTTGGGTACTCATTGTCAGTGCCGGTACTGTTTATATTTAGGTGCAGGAGCTCCACAATACTTCTGAGCTAATATTCTATAAGAGGTGCAGGAGCTTGTAGTGTCGAGAACAATGCTGTGATGACAAGAAATTCGCTGACACTGTTCTTGATTATAATGGTTTATTACATCTTTACTTTCAGCGTCAATTTACAGATTTCTGCAGAAAATCCGGAGAACAACTGACCCAATCTCTAATATGTTGTTTTCTCCCCGTCCTTTGTCCCAACCATAGTATATATATCCTATGTAACCTGATATGGGTGGTTTTCCCTACAGACCAATCCCTGGCCTCCACATAACAGACTTCCTCTAACACACCATTTGCAAACATCAGCAAAGTCATAAATTGTTTAGACACTACAAGCTCTAGCAGAAGAAAATGTAGGTGCTGGTACTCAGCTCCGGTGAGCTCCTGCCCAAGTCAAGCAAAGCACTGGTGTCAGTCCATTTTTAAAAAGAAGATATCTGTAGTTCATTGTTAGTTGGCTACTACAATTAATCAAATACATAGCATTGAAAAATAGAACCACATTTCTGATAAGTTTAATGTTGAACTTTATACAAATATTTTAGTTCCACAATATTGTCAGGTGAATATTATAAACATGGGTTCCTCCTATGCTTAAAGTAAAGTAAAATCAGGCAAGTGTGATTCGTAAGGCCCTGTTTTAATACTGAAAAAATTAATCGTTGATTACTTTCTTTCCTCGTGAAATTATAGGAAAATACAACAAATATACACCACTTTTCACCTATCCAATTATGTGACAGTGATTACTTCAAGGGGAAAAAAAGTGATAATTTGTACAGTACTTGAACATGCTCAAACACTGGATGAATTGAGAAATCAGGTTGCTGAGGTATTAGTGGTGGTCAATAAAGCCCCGTTTCCAATGGCACTTAAAATTAGGGCTACCGTAGCCCAGTGTCACAACTGGTGCCAACTCGATTAGAATTCAGGCTGGTGACGCCGCTACTATGCAACCACCAGCTGATCACTGCTGGATGCTGACACCACGTTTAGCTAGCTTGTCTGGGCTTGTTGCTGTTAGCTAGCACATGGAAAAGCAGTACTACAGTAGTCAGACATGACACGTATTACCACCATAGCTGGATCCTTCATTCATTTTTTGCACTACACAATAAACTTTAATGAGAACAGTCAGCCCTCAAATGCTAGCGACCTAACTTTACCTAGCAAATCAGAATTGAAACAAGCTAGCTAGTAGCTAGCAGGTTTGCTTGGTTAGCTAGCTAGCTAATAGCCAATGCCATTGTAAGCAAGGTAGGAATTAAGCTAGCTAGCCTGTTATGCTAGCGACGACGCTAACCATTTAGCTAGCTAGCGTTAGCAAGCTAAATACATGGCTGAGTCTGGCTGGCACTGGCAGGAGTATGGGGTAACGCTAGTTACAGCATGGTGAGCGTGAATAAAATTATTCAACATCTTGCTAGCTAGCTAGCAACATTAGCGAAGCCAGCTGCACAGTCACATATTGGCTACCTAGCAACATGGCATCATTTCTAATTTCTGGAGGCAGAGGAAACGCAATTCGAGCTAGCCCCGTTGCCAATGGAAAACGGGGTTTAAGTACCTCGTGTATATTAAGAAGAGGATAAGAACACCACTTCAGATCCTACGCTCAATTTTAATGACAGAATAATTACACAGGCAATTCAAGACAAAGTTATTATAATTTTTTCATTATCTAAAATGTATTGTGCGGTCCAGTCCAGGTAGTACAGAACGCGTGTGCTTCGTCCAGCTACGTGGGTAAGAAAAGTTAGTGCATCTTTGGTACTGCATGTTGTATTGTTACTCCAGTTGGATGAAAACATTGTATGGCCACTGTTTTCTCCAGAAGGTTAGAGATGGGCTAGTAAAAATGTAAAACGAACATGTTCCAAGTACACAGAGCAGGTGAAACTTTCCGATTATCCTCACACATCAATTGTTGGATTAAAATTGATAGTCAGTCACACTTCTAGGTAGTCAATGTGCATTTGAAGCAAAATGAGAAATCACATTGTTCAACAGAATACAATTGCAGTTTGTATAAATGAACAAGAATATGCTTTGGTGATGCTACATTACCTACAGAGTACTTGTCAAAAAATAGTATTGCTAATTCAACACTGATTTAACCTTATTTGTACTTAATACCAAGAAAAAATGCCTCAAAGTCTAGGTCAGAAGAAAATCTCTTGGTGTGTATCAGTGAAAGTTCAGATACCAAGTTAGCTATATGTATTGAATCAAGTACAGGACATATTTACTAATAACACTACTTGTGCTTTTAAATCTATTTGTAAACGATTGCACTTTGGGTAATGCGCATAACTCACATTACTGTACTTGGCATGGTTCTTTGCTGAGCTCATGCAGTTTTGGTGATAAGTCCTCTGCAGCTGAGCATTCTGCAGTAACGTCTCTGTAGGATCACCAAATCATTATTATGGCAACTGTTGATGTGATACAATAGAAGTAAACCTATTCATTAATTCATAATACTGACAAACGTAAACAATAATTAGGCACCTACATTTTTAAGTGCAAGCCCAGATTCAATTAAACTATATTTGAAGTTTAAGAACCTCTATAAGAGCAGGTTGACAGAATCATAACCTAATGAAATTTACATGAAAATGGTGTAAAGGTCAACAGAACAATTCTCTTCAGCAACGTTTAAATAGAAAACCTGACCCTGTGGGTTATGCTCCCAGCCTCCCACCTAACAATAGAACTGGTTCTTATGTACGGCTGCAACAGGTGGAGCCAAGATTCTACTCTCATTCACTGCAGTTATGTGATTGAGCAAACATTGTTCTGAAAGAGCTAGCTTAATTTTCCTTCCTTGTCCATCACCCTAAAAAATTATGTCATTGTGGTGTGCTATTTGTTGATGAGCTTGGCCAAGCTCTGTCGCAGGTCATTCAGGTCGTAGATCTTGACGTCGAGAACGTCGACGACCCGCTGAACCTCACTCTCCGCCCGTTCCCGCTCCTCCAGAGAGGAAGCTAGAGTCTGCTCAGCGCTCTCCACCCGTTGCTCCAGTTCTGTGTTCCGTGTCTCCAGATCCTAGAAGGTCCACAAATGACAGAGGACTACAGATCAATTTATGTTAAAATGGTCAGTGTCATACCAATTTGTTTTTCCCCCAACCCTGCTTTTTTGCATACCCTTTGTAAACTCTCACCGAGCCCCTTAAGCGGTTGAGAATCACTGGTGTTCAGGATTCACTAGTGTGGAGAAGCCAAAAATGCATGTTCTACCCCAATTAACCAAACTCACCTGAAGTCTCTGAACAGCCTCTTCCCTCTCTTTTTCCAACTCATGGATATCTGATTTCTTGCTCTGTAGATTGTGGATTTCCTAAAAAAGACAACAAATACAGTAATCCTTTGGTATTTTATCAGGATACCCATTAGCTGTTCAGAAAGCAGCAGCTACTCTTCCTGGGGTCCACAAGGGACTCTTTATTACTAGGCGGCAGGTAGCCTAGCGTTTAGAGCGTTGGGCCAGTAACCGAAAGATAGCTGTCAAATAATCTTGTGTAGCCTGGCTTGTTTTGACAAACTTTGGGACATTTTACTGTTACTGAAATTTCCGTCATGGACTCCAGTACAAAGTGACCTTGTATGAGTTATCCTTGCTGAAGTTTTGCTTGTTTAGACTGTAAGAGAATGTGGAGGTTTGAGATAGCACTACAACGCCACAAGGAAACTGAACCATTTAGATGCAGTGCCTTCAGAAAGTATTCAACCCCCTTCACGAGTGTCACGAATCTACACACAATATCCCATAATGTCGAGGTGGAATTTAGTTGTAGATAAAAAAAAACTAATTAATAGAAAATGAAAAGCTGATAAAAAAATGTAAAAAGTCAAGTATTAAACCCCTTTGTTATGGCAAGCCTAAATAAGTTCAGGATTAAACATTTGCTTAACAAATCATGTAATAATCTGCATGTACTCTGTGTGCAATAATAGTGGTTAACATGATTTTTGCACTACATGGCCGAAAGTATGTGGACACCTGCTCGTCGAACATCTCATTCCAAAATCATGGGCATTAATATGGAGTTGGTCCCCACTTTGCCTACACTCTTCTGGGAAGGCTTTCCACTAGATGTTGGAACGGGGACTGTTCCAACATCTGCAGGGACCTCACTTAGCCATGAGCATTAGTGAGGTCGGGCACTGATGTTGGGCGATCAGGCCTGGCTTGCAGTCTGCATTCCAATTCATCCCAAAGGTGTTCGATGGAGTTGAGGTCAGGGCGCTATGCAGGCCAGTCAAGTTCTTCCACACCGATCTCGACAAACCATTTGTGCTGACGTTGTTTCCAGAGGCAGTTTGGAACTCGGTAGTGAGTGTTGCAACCGAGGACAGACGATTTTTATGCACTACGCACTTCAGCGTTCTGTGAGCTTGTGTGGCCTACCACTTCCCAGACGTTTCCACTTCGCCTAGACGTTTCCACTTCACAATAACAGCACTTACAGTTGACCGGGGCAGCTCTAGCATTTCAGAAAACTATGACGGTGCCACGTTGAAAGTCACTGAGCTCTTTAGTAAGGCCATTCTAATGCCAATTACATTTTACATTTACATTTTAGTCATTTAGCAGACGCTCTTATCCAGAGTGAGTGCATACATTATTTTTTTTATTTTGCAAACACCATGCTCTACCAACTGAGCTACATCCCTGCCGGCCATTCCCTCCCCTACCCTACCCTGGACGACGCTGAGGCAATTGTGCGCCGCCCCATGGGTCGCCCGGTCGCGGCCGGCATACGACAGAGCCTGAATTCGAACCAGGATCTCTAGTGGCACAGCTAGCACTGCAATGCAGTTCCTTAGACCACTGCGCCACTCAGGAGGCCAATGTATGCCTATGGAGATTACATGGCTGTGTGCCCAATTGTATACACCTGTCAGCAACGCGTGTGGCTGAACTATCCGACTCCACTAATTTGAAGGGGTTTCCACATACTTTTGGCCATGTAGTGTATGTTGAATAGACCAGGGAGGTTTTCCAATGCCTCGCAAAGAAGGGCACCTATTGGTTGATGGGTAAAAATAAATAAAAGCAGACACTAAATATCAATTTGAGCATGGTAAAATTATTAATTAGGCTTCGGATGGTGTATCAATACACCCAGTCAATACAAAGATACAGGCATCCTTCCTAACTCAGTTGCCGGAGAGGACGGAAACCACTCAGGGATTTCACCATGAGGCCCATAGTACTTTTTAAACAGTTACAGAGTTTAATGGCTGTGATAAGAGAAACTTGAGAATGGATCAACAGCATGGTAGTTACTCCACAATACTAACCTAAATGAGAGAGTGAAAAGAAGGAAGCCTGTACAGAATACAAATATTCCAAAACATGCATCCTGTTTGCAACAAGGCACTAAAGTAATATTGCAAAGAATGTGGCAAAGAGATAAACTTTTTTTTCCTGGATAAAAGGCATTATGTTTGGGGCAAATCCAACACATTACTGAGTACCATTCTTCATATTTTCAAGCTTGTGGTGGCTACATCATATTATGAGTATGCTTGTCATCAGCAAGGACTAGGGAGTTTTTTTTAGGATACAAATAAATGGAATAGAGCTGAGCACAGGCAAAATCCTAGAGGATAACCTGGTTCAGTCTGCTTTCCAACAGACACTGGCAGACAAATTCACCTTTCAGCAGGACAATAATTTAAAACAAACAGCCAAATCTACACTGTTCTTGAGTGGCCTAGTTACAGTTCTGACTTAAATTGGCTTGAAAATCTATGGCAAGACTTGAAAATGGCTGCAATGATCAACAACCAACTTGACAGAGCTTGAAGAATAAAAAAAAGGGGCAAATATGTACAATCCAGGTATGCAAAGCTCTTAGACTTACCCAAAAAGACTCACAGCTGTAATTGCTGCCAAAGCTGTTTCTAACATGTTTAAATCAAGATAGTGTTTTATTTTTCAATATTATTTTACAATAAAATTCTTCTTCCACTTTGACAAGTATATATAGATCGTTGACAATAAAACAATTTAAATCCCACTTTGTAATGCAACAAAATGTGGAAAAGTCAAGGGGGTTGAATACTTTCCGAAGGCACTGTAAATGTGATGCCCTATTTTCAGAATGTTTTGGGCATTGTCATTATTCATAGCATTCTTGAGCAGTAGACCAAGTTTGCAGCTGCTCCGAAATAATACTGTACTTTCTCAAAACCGAATAAACCTGATTGTTTGGATGACTGACAGTTTTCCCATAATGCAGCCGGGATTCATTTAATCCATCCAATATAGATACACGTAAAGCAATTTCCTTTGAACAAGAGGTGGGATTTAGAGTATGCAAAATACCTCTACCAAGGCTTTCTGCTTCCAGATGGGAAGTGTTTTAAAAAAAACTCAAGAACAACTGGTTTCTTGAGATTCTCAAGCAAAAACCTTAGTTTATACCTCACTAGTTTCTTTCAACGGCACTTTCTAGAGAGCATAGAAGGCTGGCACCTCAAGGCTAGCAGTACCTGGTTGCCTAGAAGAGCGTCTGAGCCCCGGGCCTTACCTCGACTTTTGCTTTGAGCAAGGCTTCCAGCTCCTCCAAGGACTGGGTCAGCTCATCCCTCGTCTCAGACCCACTGGGACCAGGCTGTCCGCTCTGAGCCTCCAGCTCTGCCACCTGCAAACACACAACAACAGAGAAGAGACAGAGGGATAGTAAGAGGGAGAGAATAACACTAAATAAGGAGTTTTTCAATCCTAGATTACATGCAATGACAGTGGATGGTTGAACATCATTTCCTTTCGGCTGTCAGCTATGACGTGTTAAAGGACCACAATAACACAGAATACATCACTATGGAGACATTTTATTAATTGCCAGAAGAGTTTTAAATTAAGGTTTGCGGATGTAGACATTAATTTGACCTACTTGTATGTGTTTAGCATAGAAATTGACTCAAAGGTCTGAATTCCACATATGCTCATGTGGTGAGTTGTGATTAAAAGAGAGGACAAATCGTTTACCCCTTGAAGTCATAACTCCACAACCATAAAAAAACTAAAAAAACATTTGCCCCAATTATCTTCAATTGAACACCAGACAGGAACATGGTTAGAATCTGACTTGTTTATTGAAAACGGACTAGAATGTTCATGGGTTTGTGCTCAGCTTTCGCAATAACATCTCTTCCTTTGCATCTCCTCTGCATATTCAAAATGGCCCTTTAAGATTCCATATCATGCCATCCATCGTAGCTCGAGAAAGCTGCTGTAGGAGTATGTGTCTCCTGAGTGGCGCAGTGGTCTAAGGCACTGCATAGCAGTGCTAGCTGTGCCACTAGAGATCCTGGTTCGAATCCAGGCTCTGTCGCAGCCGGCCGCGACCGGGAGACTCATGGGCGGCGCACAATTGGCCTAGCGTTGTCCAGGGTAGGGGAGGGAATGGCCGGCAGGGATGTAGCTCAGTTGATAGAGCATGGCGTTTGCAACGCCAGGGTTGTGGGTTCGATTCCCACGGGGGACCAGTATGAAAAAATAAAATATGTATTCACTAACTGTAAGTCGCTCTGGATAAGAGCGTCTGCTAAATGACTAAAATGTAAATGAGTATCTCACATTCCTATAGGACCCAACTCCAGCCTATCAAATCCATGTGACAGCAACTCCCAGAGGGAATGATGTTACTGCTTGTACACAACTGCCCTCATACCACCGCTGACAACATACAAAACAGACCTACTGATAAGATCTCTAAAACAGCTATCAAATTTCCTTGCAGGAAAATGAATAGGAGCCCTCACCCACCTAGATAAGAGGAATACCTATGTGAGAATGATGTTAATCGACTACAGCTCAGCGTTCAACACCATTGTGCCCTCCAAGCTCGTCACCAATCTTAGGACTCTGGGTCTGAACACCTCCCTCTGCAACTGGATCCTGGACTTCCTGACGGGCCGACCCCAGGTGGTGAAGGTAGGCAACATCACCTCCCCACGCTGACCCTCAACACAGAGGTGTGTGCTTAGTCCCCTTCTGTACTCCCTGTTCACCCACGACTGCATGGCCACACACGACTCCAACAAGTTTGCTGATGACACAACGGTGGTAGGCCTGATCACTGGCAACGATGAGTCAGCCTACAGGGAGGAGGTCAGAGACCTGGCAGTGTGATGCCAGAATAATAACCTCTCCCTTAACGTCAGTAAGACCAAGGAGCTGATTGTGGAATACAGGAGGGGGGAGCACGCCCCCATCCACATCGACGGGGCTGCAGTGGAGCAGGTCAATAGCTTCCAGTTCCTCTGTCTCCAAATCACTAAAGACTTAAAATGGTCCAAACACACGCGCACAGTCGTAAAGAAGGCACTACAGTGCCTCTTCCCCCTCAGGAGGTTGAAAAGGTTTGGCATGGGTAGGGCTGTTGCGGTGACCGTATTACTGCCACACCGGCGGTCACGAGTCATGAATTCCCACATGTACATATTACCTCAACTACCTCAACTAGCCGATGTCCCCGCACATTGACTCTGCACCGGTACCCCCCCTATATATAGCCTCCCTACTGTTATTTTATTTTACTTCTGCTCTTTTTTTCTCGACACTTTTTTTTGTTTTTGTTGTTTTATTTTACTTTTTTATTAAAAAATAAATGCATTGTTGGTTAAGGGCTGTAAGTAATCATTTCACGGTAATGTCTACACCTGTTGTATTCGGCGCATGTGGCCAATAACATTTAATGTGATTTGATGAAGGCAGTCAAATTCCACGTGACCATTTAGGCTTCTCCAAGCTCTGATGCTGCTGATGGTCATTAGTAGCCTACCAAACTTGCTAACTGCCTGGTACTCAGCACTCTATTGTCCCTCTAATCACTCTGACATCAATGCAAATGTCAGACTGAGTAGGCCTAGCTTTCTATAGGCTAGGCCTACTATATTTATTTTTCAACTTTCCTAATATTAAGCACATTGCTTATTTACAACAGGTGTATAGCCTACCTGGCTGGCATGTAAATTGTAAAGTGGTTATCCCACTGGCTATAGGGTGAACGCACCAATTTGTGAGTCGCTCTGGCTAAGAGCGTCTGCTAAATGACGTTAATGTGCCCTTGAGCAAGGCACTTAACCCTAATTGCTCCTGTAAGTCGCTCTGGTTAAGAGCGTCTGCTAAATGACTAAAATGTAAATGTAAATGTAATGTAAATGCATGAAAATAAACCACAGGGAAAAGCGTCCTCCATTTGCTATTTAAGGGCATAGATTACATGTATTTTTTCCCGCTGCCCCTGTTTCGAGACAGGTGCATGGTAATGATCCATTCTAAATCAAAACAAATTTCACACATATATTATTTAGTATATGTAAAGACAAGATTAAATCAAGAATAGTCTGATGGGTGACAATATTAGCCTAGCACGTGTGAATGATGCCCAGCATAAGAAACAATGCCTTTTTGTTTCTTTTTCTAATCATAGTCGCACACCTCATGTAGCCTAGCCCATAGGCCTATATGTTTTTTAAAAAGGTTTGTATCACAACTAAAGTGGGCAAATAACTTCTTCAAATTAAGCACATTCATCCGCTTTACAAGGGGTGTAGAGCCTAACTGGCATACATAAGCAGCGCATGAGTTTCAAGTTTGGAGAAGATAATTTTCACCATAAAAAAGCACCTTTAAAATAAAAGCATTACATGCATAATTGCATTTGCAGTCACTTTTGATGATGGTGTTTTCCACTAATGGACATTCACGCTTATAGCCTACTACCATGTGCGCCTTATAATGTGAAGAAATAGCCTAATAGTTTATCAACATTTTAAGCTAAACGTTCTGATCTGTTGCGTCAGCCACATTGCGTAAAAACTAGGGCTGTCAAATGATTAAAATTTTTAATCAAATTAATCAGAATTTTCAGTGGATTAATCATGATTAATCACTATTTGCAATTACACCTGAATCCTAACCATTTTTTTTCTGAAATGCATACCAAAAGATAAATAACAGGACACAGATACATAATTTTCATATTATGTCTGTTTATTAACACAGCCAAATAATGGTGTTTTAAATCAAGCTGAAACATACTACACACCATAATATTTGTCTTTGGCTGTGGCTCTTGACGGTGGCTTATAGAATGAGTCTTGAGACGCCACTTGCAAAACATCAAGGAAACCTGAGTCTTCTACAATGCTAATGGGTCTACAATCCTTTGCAATCCATTTTGCTATTGTGTTGGTCAAATTATCTGAGGTTGATTTTGTTAATTGCCTGCAAACATTCAGCGTGGTCTGGCGCAAACCACTTGCTGAATCTGACGGCCCAGCAAACGCATGTTTGGCGTTGACATGGTACTTCAAGCTTGAACAGCTCCGGTGAAATTGAAACTCCTTCTTACAAATCTTGCAAATAACCTTGTACTTGTTAACTGTACCATCATCATTCTTTTTATATTTGAATCCGTCAATAGGCCCACTTTGCTCACCTTGCTCCATCTCGCCTCTAGCTCCCAACCACTTTCCTGACCTGAATAATTTGTCACACTGCGCATGCGTGAAATGCGTTAAAAAAATTGACGTAATTAACAGCAAACAACTAATTAACGTCGTTAACGCGCTATTTTTGACAGCCCTAGTAAAAACGTTTTTGGGATGCTAGTGGTTGTATTCATTTGGGATCTATCGCATTCCACAACTGTCCCAGACTATGTTTGGAATATTTATTTCTCGCACAGAATAGAATAGGTCAACCTTTGTACTATGGGGGATAGTAGATTGACATAGGCTAGTGCTTTTGCTGTTCGTTAGGCCTACTCATCTTGTTGGCTGACGAAAAGTTAATGTAGACAATTCTTCCAATATCTTCAATATGCACCTCAGAATTGGATAAGGACGCGCGCAGTTGCGTCCCCGATGTGTCTGTCTTTACTTGTAGCCTGTGAGAAAGACCCGATCACGTGATGGAGCGCGCAGCACTCAGGGAGAAGGGCACAACGACCACTGGCCGCAAAAGGCATGGATTTCTTTAGGATGCATTACGGCCACACAAAGGGGATGCCGCCGTGAAATTCTAGGTATTATCAAGTGCTTGTCAAATTGTGAATGAGTGACTGATGTAGTGTGTACAGCCTGCGCAAAAAACAAAGCAGAGCTCATGCCTTTCAAGCAACTTTTTTCAAATCATCATTGGAGTCGCATCATGCAGCCTTACAATGTATTAAAAATCTAAACACATTGCCCAACGTTTGTAGAACAACTAAAGTTACATAACTCTAAATTAAGCATATAGGAATACCTATTTCTTTGTTAACCGCTCAACACAGAATAGCCACATGTTCGCACTCCCTCAAATCGTTTGGAGAAAATATCCTTTCTATTTTATTCAGCTTTGTTCAATTGTATTCTCCATACTATAAAATAATGCCAAGCAAATCTTGTCTGCTAAATAAACTAGTGTAGCCCACAGCCATTTGGCATAGCCAGATCAGGACCAAACATAAGGACAACTCAGAGTATGGTATTCTGTTATTCTGAAATAGACTACATTTTCTTCATATCTTGCTTCTTTAGACCTTTCTAAAGTAAATAATGGATGTATTGTGAAGGTGTAGACTACATTACATGGATTTATTAGACTTTTTTAAATGTAGATGTTCCAAAAGGTCAGTATCAGTGGCTT